GGATGTTCTTCTTGACCCTCAGAGAAGGAGAACATGTCGTGTCTTTCAGGCATGTCCTTTCCTAACAAAAATGACAGGAAACATAAAACATATTATTGCAGAACAAGTGTGTTATTTATGAAAGCGGTGTGTTTGTGTGTTTAGGGGCTGTTGATATAATTATTTTGTAATTGTAATGTTTTTTTTTTATTTCAACAATGAGCTACAAAGACAATCAGATTATGAATGAACAGTATGAAGTTCATCAACATTGAAATATATGTTATTATCAAAATAATATTTAACTGTTATCAAAACGTAGTGCAACTGTAGAAGCTTGCTCTGTTGTCTCACTGAAAGAATAACGTTTACCACGTTTTTTACAGACAATATTGAGAGATAAATAGTAGCAGTTCTCACTATGTGTTAAATATCTTTGCCTTCAATACATTAAATTAGAAAGCTGACAAAGTCATATTGCTTGTTATCATCTAAATGTAACTTTTTGCATGGAAAAAACCCTCAACTTCACTGATGTGTAGGTGATCTAGTATTGTTTAATGGAATGTATATCAGTGTATTCAAGTCAATACTTCATTCATTTAAACCAATATATTTATTGATTCTTTGTACAGTATGAAAAAATAGTCTTTGTACCTGTGCTGAAGTTCACTGCTGTGAGGAGTCCAGTTCTGTCTCTCACTCTCTGGTCCAGCCTGTCTGCATCACCTGGACACCTTAAACAAACAGATATATATGTAAAGTACCATGTGTACAAACAATATAACTGATTCTCTTCTGTTGAACATGTTGGATTGTGTATTGTCCGAGTCAGGGGCCTTTTAATTTTACTGTAACTTTGGAAATTGTATTACCAATGCTTACTGTTTATTTGATACCCATTTGGTAATGCAATTAATAAAAACAACAAGGTTTGGGTTCGTTCTTCAGATGACTGTGACGTTAACGTGTAAGCTCAATAATGAACTCCAGCTCAACCAACCATATTGTAATATCTAAGTAATCATCTTGAAATATGACATTAATAATTGTAATACACACACATCTTATTGTGAGGTTGATTTCACATACACTACTTCGACATTAGCTTGTCTACATACTTGAGCATAGCCAATTTAAATTAACCTTAGATGCATACAGTTCCTACCTACATAATAAAATATCTCTAAGTTACAAGGATGTAACCTTATTTTATCAACCTCAAACAGAAGCCGTTTGTTCAACAGTATTATCCCACTTAACACTTGTCTATTTCGTTGTAACCTTTATATATACAGTCTATGATTTTAACTTGGAGGCTACGATTACCAATCGTTAGCACCGATGTAGCTACCACTAGCTTACATGCTAACCCAAGCCTTACCATTCATTACGTAGCCGATTAAAATCATTAACACATAAATAAAGCACTAGAATTTCACTTACCGCATTCATGCACCGTCTGTTTTATCCGCAGAGCGAGTCACAATAGTCCGATAAATAAGCATGAAGAACAAACAACCACGGGCGGCTACAAGTTGTGTTTCCTGGATGAGCTGAGCAGGCAGAGTCCCTGTAGCTAGCTTCACGGAGCAGCTAGCAGAGAGACAAGAAGCTAACAGCGGCAGGCACTTGACAGAGCCGTCACTCAATGTGACCACGCCCTAATTTATGCACACATTTTAAGACCTAATATAAATAAAAGGGTCGCGTTAGAAAACAATTCACTCACAGATCCATAATCATGAAGGTGGAATCTAACTATATCGATAATAAAATGTATGGAGCCAGGGGTAGAAACATGTTTTTTTCTGCCGTAAAGTTGGGCATTTTAACATGGGGGTCTATGGAAATTGCTCCTTTCTGCAGCCATCGCCTATCGGCCAATATATGAACTGCAGTGTGTGGCACTTCCGTATTGGCTTCCCGGCTCTACCCCACAGTTTGCCGCTTGGTGGAGATGCATTATCGGAGTGTTCACAAGTAGCGAGTTGAGAAAGAGAAAGGTCATGTATTATTGCTACAAAAACATTATCTCGCAGTCTTAGTGTCGCCAACTAGTTTCTAACATGCAAAAAGACACAAAAAATGCGTCTATGGTCGGTGTATTTTCGATCTTTCTAATCCAGACGAGATCTCTCTCCCCGTCTGTGTGCGAGGGGGCGGGGCAGTTTACACACACGCAGCTGCTACATGCAGCAACACACGGAGGAGATGGCGGAGAGAAGCGCTCCAAGGTGTGGTTAAATGTTACCCGTCTCGATGTGGACAATGCTCGTTGCCAAGAGTGCAATAAGAGTTTAGCATGTAAGGGCGGTAACACGAGCAATGTGTCTAAACATTTAGCAAAAGTGCAGCACATTCAGACGGAGAAATGCACCGGGTTCGACTGTCTTGCTGGACAGCGTGGATGGGGCTACTCGCCCCATCCACGAGTAACGTTTCCACGTCAGGTGTTATGTATGCTAGCAGCAACACACAGAGTTAACTACATGATACAAACATGGGTTAATGATTAGAGGAAACTGAGTTTTTTTTGTTAAAGTTGCAGCTATTCTGTTTACAGTTCTGTCATCAGATTATTTAATACCATTTGTTAAAACGTTGTTGTTTATTTTGATGTTAAATATTATTTATTTAATTTAAATAAAAAGCAATGTTAATTTTGTTTACAATTTGTTTAGTTAATAATATATGTATTTTTGAATCAAGTAGGCCTATTCATCTTTATTGTCTTCATTGTTAGTTTCCACATGCCTAAAACAACCTCAAGCTAAATCTAAAAGTTGATGGCTAAATAAGAGCGTTTGAAAAATTGTGCAAGGCATACAGTAATAGTCGATTCATCGTTTCATTAATCGATAGATGAATCGATTATCAAATTAGTCGTTTGTTGCAGCCCTATTGTAGTTATCTCATGTATAAATAAAACGTGTTATTCAGCAACCCTTGCAATTGGGGATTTTATTTTTGGTTGGTAGACCTCGGTGAGCTGGTCATTTCAAAAGTAGCTCACCAGCCAAAAAAGTGTGGGCACCCCTGCCTTAACACATTTCAAATTCAAAAGCTCCTCCCAGAAACCGTGTCTCATTACTCAGGGTAATCCACATAACACACTGTCAACATTCTTAATGAGGAATATTTGTTTTAGAAGAAAATAGTTCCAGTCAGAGTAATTACAGTCTCTCTTAAGGATTTGAGCACAGCAAGGACACCCTTTTCTATTCCACGGCTGTACCAAATATTTTGAAGCTCCAAAGCGTCATTAATAGCGTTGACATTCAGATTGTAATTCAAAATGTAATTGCTGCGCAGCATATCTATTCCTAAAAAAAGAACTAGGCAGATATAGAGACAAAACTTGTTTATAGATACCACCCGCTTTGGGCTGCATTCCCAAAGCAACCTGATTAAAAGGCGAAATAAATCATTTGGGGATGCCACATTTGGGCTCTTATTAGTTTGATATTCTACTTACATATTTATCTGTGCTAATGGCTGGGACTCAACCCTTTGAATATTAAACAGCAACAGTAATATTGCTAAAAAATTACATAAATTGTCCCTTTATAGTTGATGCATTTGACCTCTGCTACAGCACCACTTTACCCACGGCCTCATGTGTTGTGTCCGCTGCGTTTAAAACTGTAATCATTCCTGCTTACAGCCATTATCATTATTCATCACTGATGTTAAGAGCAATCAAATAGGCCTTGACCTACTTGGTGTAGCCATCTGACCCCTCCCAAGCTCCCCCCTCCCTCCGTCTTTCACCTACACCTCTTCCCCATCAACTCTTTTTGGGTTGCTCTCAGTTCACTGATCACTGGAAGAGGAGTGACCCAGGGTCGACCATGTCCCTTTCGCCTCCAGGAATGGCCGGCCCAAACAAATTGGGGTCACCGGGACGCTGAATTGGTGTGATCACACACACACACACACACACACACACACACACACACACACACACACACACACACACACACACACACACACACACACACACACACACACACACACACACACACACACACACACACACACACACACACACACACACACCCACACACACACACACACACACACACACACACACACACACACACACACACACACACACACACACACACACACACTTGCACAGATGGCTGAGTGTAGATAGGTGTAGATAACAGTGATAGTGTTTTATCACTGCGTACATTAAGAGAGTGTGAAAGGAAGTGCTATAAATGAAGCACTGAAACTGTGATTTTTGGATACAAGAGGAAGTGCAGGGTCACGAGGAGACCGTCGAAACTGGTGTAAATGTATTTGCTATGCCTTAATTGCTATGTAAAGTCATTACTAGTGGTGATTTTAAGTGACCTTTCTCCTTGATATGTGAAATCAATAAAGCAGGAATGAGGCCAATAACTATTTTTACAGGGGATGGAGAGAAACGTGATTATCTATTTCCAGGACTCAGCACACACAGATTCCTCTGAGTGACCCTAGTTAGCACTACACACCAAAGGAATATTTTCCAGGAGACAATTTCTTAGATGGCAGATCAGCCGTAACCACTCCTATTCAAGAATCAAAGAGGAACTGTAGCTTAACCCTAACCCTGTAAGTCATTAGAAAAGCACAACTGCATAACTGAGTTGTCTTAGAATTTCTCCAAACTTTTAAACTCAAGTCCAAAAATATTGTTTTCAGGGTTTTGGCTATTATTCCCATTATATTATATTTTATGAGATAAAGAGACACAAAGATTACTTTTACAAACAAAACAACTGAAATCCAAAGGGACAATATCAACTGGAATTATCCTTCAAGGCCTTCAAATTCAGTCAAATTCCAAACCAAAAACTTAAAGGGATCCACAAGGGTGACAATATAGTCTAATATTAATGTGCACATTTATGTCAAGCTCCATCTTTTACCAGCCTTAAACGCCAATGAATAGTTTGAGTTTCAATAGGCATGTCAATAAACTGCAATGTCATCTTGCGTCCAACACAATTATAAAAAAGTCTTACTATGTGCAGCTCCAGGTAGTCCCCCAGTCCCTTGGCGCTCTCCACCCTGACCAGGACGGCCTCCTTCAGCTGCGTGCTGAAGCCCACTGCCAGCCGGTCTGCCCGTGTGCTCGGCCGGTCATTGGGGGGCCAGGTATATGTGATGAGGGCTCCTCCTCTCCCGAAGATGTAAGTTGTCCCAGCTGCCAAATCACAAAGAGAGGATGGAAACACAAGTTATTATTGAGTGTCAGGAGAAAGTCTTATTCGCAAATTAAGTTCATTAGCAAAAACGACTTAAAAAAGACTGCAAAGTAGTACAAGGCTTACTTTTGTCTCTTTGAATATTGACTTAATACAAAAATATAATTTCATTAAATCATAACTTTTGGCACTATCTTCTGTCACACATGTGAAATAAAGGTCCCCTTTTTAATTAAATGCATGAATGAAATGAAACATGAACAATGTTCATCATCACTCTTCTTGGCTCATAACCATGTTGTCGTGTTTAGCTTTAGCACTAGCACTAGCACTATTGCTGCCTGTCACTCCCCTTTGAAATGCTAATCTGCAGAGCCACTGCTGCAGTCTCACTTGCCCTCGCTTGCGTTGCATTCAAACTAGGGCAAACTGACAAACTTTCTGTTGGCTATTGTCAATATAACCACCAGCCCTCAACATCAACAAAAGCATTTCCTCAGATCTCCCTGTCAGAGGAACTTTGCCTCAACACTATTTTTGAGTTCCAGTCTTAAAAAATCCAGAGTGATTTCCTGTTTGAACTGTAACAGAGGAGTTAGGACTTGGCTCGGCTCCAATACGCCCGCTGGTGAATGAGAAATGACGGGCGTTGGCTGTGATTAGCATAGCGTAATGAAAGCACATGGAACTGCTCTCAACTCTGTGGGCTGTCAGTATGCCATGGTATAGTAAATACATACAAACACATGCTGTATGTGTTCATACTGATGCATGTATATGCAGCTGTATGAAGCTACCAGATTAAAATGCACATACAGTTGCATACAGACAAACATACTTCTACTTTATACTTCTTTTGAATGAAGGTTGATTACTGTCCATGACATTTTACTTTCTCATAGTTGGGCCGTTACATTGATTAAAGGGAACCCTATTCTGCTTTATGTGGTTTTCCCTTTTCTATAGTGTATTTTAAAGGTTTTTGTGCATGTAAATGTTCTGCAAAGGCTAACATCCCAATGTTCCCTCCAGAGGGAGTTTCTCTCCCACACTCCCCCCCTGTTGAAATACCTAAATTAGAATCCTCTATTAACTCCGCAACATAATTATATCACTATATAATATTCTCGCTCTATCGGCTGTCATTCATATCCCTAAGTGATATGCTAAGGGCAGGGACATTTCCGACACATCTTTAAGCCAATCAGAGCAGATGGGGCTCTGGTTTCAGACAGAGGGCTAAAAGCTTTTGAACATTAAAGCATGAAAACATGTCACAGTAGAGGCACTAAATACAAAAATGAACTAACAAATCAGCATCTGTAATGTTACAGCATACAGACAACCACAATTCATTGTATTCTTATCATTTTACTGATCAATGTGTTGATATTCATATTTTGTAGATCTGTTTTTTTGATCTATCAATTGTTTAAAAGTCATATAGCGACTATGAAATGTTCCAAGTGTTTGTTGATTGTTGTGTGCATCTGGCCAATGACTGCTGCATAATAGCTACATCTGGCTAAAATCCCCTCTTTTCTTTTTGAGATGTATGTATGTCAATCCTTTTGATAAAGACATAATAAAGACAACTCTATCACTAATTATTATTATCAATTATATCATTTATTTGTTGCTGTTTTGCTACATATGCACGATCATGCATTTTCTTTTTTTAAATGTACCTGTTCTCACACACACGGAAACACATTGTTTTCTTTATGCACTACAAATGTGTCTCTAGGTGTGCTCCGGTCAGAGAGGATGGACAGCAGAGGCTGTAATGACTACAGGGCCAACAGGCTTTCAAACAACATCCACAGGAACAGGCCGCACACACTCTTAGTCATGCAGTACACACACTGAGAATGGAGACGCACTCACACACACTACCTATACGCTACCCAACACTCATTATCTAACAATCCGCTGGTAGCCATTTGAAATCGGCTGACACACACAAATTCTCTCTCTCTCTATCTATCTATCTATCTCTCTCTCTCTCTCTCTCTCTCTCTCTCTCTCTCTCTCTCTCTCTCTCTCTCTCTCTCTCTCTCCTCTTCTCTCTCCCTTCTCTCTCTCTTTCTCTCTCTCTCGCCACCCCTCTCATCCTCTCCTCCTCTCCTCCTTCCCTCCCAGCGGAGCTAAGCCCTCTGCTCAGCTCTAGCTGTATTATTTTAGCACTGACTAATTATCACAGCACGGCAAGGAGGGCTATAAAGAGGTTGTGTGCCAGAGGAGGGGGGAGAAAAGAGAGGCATACAAAGACAATAGGGTACAGAGACAGGGAGGATGGGAAAGTGCAAAATGTGGATGGTGCGGAGAAGAAGAAAGTTGGCGTTATCCTTTTTTTTATCTTCTTCCCATGTTTATTATTCAGGGAAGCTGGGCAAGAGAGAGCTGTGAGCAAGAGGAGAAACACTTTTCTAAAATGGCCGACAAACAGGAAAGGAGGTGAGCCATGTTGGGAAGAACGACTGTGCTCAGCTTATGCTAATGTCGATCTATGTGCCTATAATACACTTGTAGCCGTATAAAAATAGTTTAATAAAAGCCACACACACACTTAAAGCTTAAAGTCAAAGTCAGTTTTATAGTCATAGGGATTACTAATGATGTGGGCCTTTAACAGGAAGGGATGACGTAGGTGTATTATGGGAAATATAGGACTGATTGTTTTCTTTTGTTTGACCCACACTATGAACTTAAAGTTAGCAGCATATCCCAGCGTATACTGTATGAATGTATCTTAAATGTGTCTCTTTCAAGGCCCTAAATCTTTCGGATATGCAATGTGGGAGTACCTCGTTACAGTTTATTTCTTTCATAGATTAATAATATTTTGCGACAGACTATATCACAGTCAAATAAACATTAGCAAAGCGCTACAAAACCCACGTTGTCATTCCCTCACAGTATATAACACATTATTCAAAGATATTTGTATTCATCGTGTCGGACAGAGTTTACTTGACAATGACAAAACAATATAAGACAAAGCTAGGAATCTCCAATTTTGACATTTGTCCCATTCTGAGGTCTGTTAATGTACCTAAACTAATATTAAAAGTGTCGGGAACTCACAGAAACTTTATTTTAATATCTAATCTAGCTCCAAGCTTCCAGAAGTTTCACTCTAATACTGTTACACCAGTTTATAACACTGATAACTCATTACAGGGGCGCCAAGAGGTAGACATGTAGGACGGATCATCATTGCATTTCTTGCGTGTATAGCCTACTCATAGTAAACTAATTCTCATCAATTAACACCCCTCTCATGCGGAGCAACTGCCATATGCTTCGCCTTCCCCAGAGAGTTGCCTGTGTGCGCGATGCCCCTATAACAGTCACACTTGTCACTTTCCACTTGGTCTTTATCATCTGCAAATCTACTGGCATGAATGTCATGAACACAAGTGCCAAAGTTAGGAGGAAAAAAGAAAAACACTTTCTATCCAATAAGCTGGTGTTAACTTTGCCTGCTTTGATTTGTCCAGCTGATAGCAGCCACCTGCTACTGTGTGCACTTGTATACAAGCATGTATGTGTTTGTGTACGTGCACTCTTCGCTCCTCTAAATGAAGAGACAAAGGAGGTGCAGAGGCACATCCATATGTCACTATTTCTCCCAGCAAACACCTGCTGCTACTGTTGAGGCCAAATCTGCCCAATCCTGCAACGCAGCACACTGATGGGGAGATGAAAAGGGATGAAGACAAGGTGTTTCGAGGGCAATCTTCCCTGGTCGCATGAATGCATTTTGAGATAGTCTGAGTTGTGTTTTTGTGTAAATGTCTGCATTTGTGTGTCTGCACCTGATTATGAGAACAGGGCAGACAGGATGATCTCTACATTCTCCCAAACAGTGTCTGTTAGCCTTGATTGAAAACTGTGAGTTTAAGTCAATCAGTGTAGCCTTGGGAGTTGTCAGCAAACAAAAACCCGGCCGAGTATGGATTTCTGTGACCTTCAGTCAACCGTGGAATAATCAACCAATTTGCCTCCCCGCTTTTGCTGGTATAACAATAATGATGGAAATGCTCTGTTGCACTCATGGTTTTCCACCAACTCCCTCATCCAAAAAAAAGAGGCTAAATATGTATTACTTTGTCCAATTAGCTCAGGCGCCATCGATCTGACCAATCAATCGTACCTGCGGCGTTAGAGGTGAAGAGAATGCAAAGAGATGAGGCAAAACATGGCAGGATGCCCCCTGATTATCATTTCCATTCACAAGGGCCGGCTGGTAATTTGGTGTGAAGAAGAACGGACCAAAAAATACTATTTTCCTTTGTCCTCGGAATGGGGTGGAAAGATAATCAGAGAAGACTCATGAATCAAAGCGATAATGAAAAAAGTATTGATTCAGATTTTTCCCACCACTCCCCTTTTCCTCACTCTTCCTCTCTGTATTGGGGTTGAGCTTATCATTAGGGATGCTTTCTCTGTGACATTGATTTAGGATACTGGATTTCAGGCCACTGCTATCCACCGTGTGGATAAACAGGTCATATTGAAGAAACCAGATGCTGCGATTTTTCATTAAGGCCTCCGGTCAATGTTGCCGTGTCTAACGGCAGCCGCAATGCCTCATGGGAGCTTCGCTACGGCAGGACAGGCCTGCCGATAAAAGGAAGATTCCACAAGGAAAAAGGGACTGATGTTGGTGATGAAGTCAGTTCTTGAGAGGCAATAAGCCTCAAGGCGTACCGGCACCGCGCACCTACATATTTATACACACTTCTTATTTTGAACTCTCAGACTGGCTCTCAAACAATAACTCAATAATACAGATGGCTCCTCCAACCTTTGTGTATTATTGCATCAGTGCAGGCTGAGTCTTTGAAGCAGTTAAGGAGAGAGACGGAGCTATTGATTCCTTTTAAACGAGGAGAGTGAATCATTTTCTCAATCCTTTTTTTGACACGACATATATTTCAGAGACGGTTACAAAGGGATTCCCATCAAAAAGGAGGGAAAAAGGGGGCTGAGA